GATAAGATTGCTGAGGGTACCATGGACTGCTAAGAAAACAAACAGATTCATCTTGGAGAGGGTTAAACCGGGGTGCGCCTTGGAGGCAAGGATTCTGAGGCTTCGTCTGACATACTTTGGTCATGTTGTAAGGAGGGACCGGTCCTTGGAGAGGGACATCATGCTTGGGAGGGTGGAGGGCAAATGCAGGAAGGGAAAGCCCTCTGGGAGGTGGATTGATTCGGTGACTGGGGCAATAGGGATGAGTGTGTCGGAGACAATGAGATTGGCACAGGACAGAGCAGAGTTTAAAGCTGTTGTACATAGGGTCCCTATGAGTAGCAAGTGACTCGACAGCACATAACAACAACAACAGCAACAATCAAGGAAACAAAAAAATTTCACCACTAGGCAAATTGGCAGCCTCATGATAGATGAAGAAGGGATTGAGATTGTTAATTTCAGCTTTCTTGTCTCCATAATCAACATTCTTGGCACCAGTGGTCAGGAAATAAAAAAAATGAATTGCCTTTGGAAAATATTCTGTCAGGGACCTCTCCAGAGTGCTAAAGAGCAATGATGTCAGTCTAAAGACTAAGGTAATCCTGATCCACAATATGGTCTTCACAATTACTTTCTGGTAATCAGAGAGTTAGACTATGACCAGGAATACAGAAGAAGAATTGATGCCTTTGAGTTGTGGTAGTGGAGAACAGTATTAAATATACCATGAACTGCCAAAAGAGCTAACAGTTCTATCTTTGAGAGAGTGAAGCCAAGCTGCTCCTTGGAGGCAAGGATTTCGAAACTCTCACATACACTGGGCACGTAGCCAGAAGGGACCAAGCTTTGGAGAAGGACACCATGCTTGCAAGAGTAGAGGACAGCACAGGAGAAGAAGACCCCAGATGAGACAGATTGGCATAATAACTGAGGTAATAAGGGGAGGTGTGTCAAAGACAGTGAGATTAGCCCTGAGTAGAGCAGAGTTCAGAGCTATTGTGGATAGGGTCACTATGATTCACGGTCAACTCGACAGCACATAACAACAACAAACAACAGCTTTTAAAAAACAGTGCTGCATTGAAACAGATGAGGGAGAACACTGTTTAAAAGGGATATATGATTCGGTATTGGTGTCATGACACGAGTCCAGGATGAATGCTGTATAGTGGAGTGGACTTGGGGGGTGGGACTGTATAACAATGAAAGAATTTTTCTTTTACTTTTCCAAG